ATATGTCATGTTTTCTGTTTAATCCAAATGTATTTGCATGTGCGGGTCATTTAATGCATACCGACAAGGATAGCTAGCAAATATTTATCTCCTAGTTTGTCCCTTGTTGACCCCTTCTTCTGTCTCTCGCATGCAGTTTACTCCCTGTTTGGTCTTTCGGAGCTGCTGTTCATCCTTGCTAACACCTACTATCACTTCCGAGCAGTGGACCTCGTTGGACAGGCCTCGTGTTCCAGCCTCTTCACCTACAGTCGCTTGTCCTTCCCTGTACCTCAGAAGTCTCCTCCCTTTAGCCTCGATATCTGATCCAAAGTTACTTCCACGAGCATGGCGCCTGAAAACTAAACTCTCCGATTACTTCCTTCATGTCCTTGGTCCTGCGCGTAACAGGGTCATTGGTCTAGACAGCAGCTGTTAAATAAATTTTAGCTCTCTCTCTGTCAGCCCTCCTCTCTTCCATCTTACTCTGTGTTTTCGTCTTTATGAATTTATGACACTTAGAAGCCTTTTGTAAGGTGGCGTCTTCCCTATGCACATATTCCTATTGAGTCCCTTAGGAGTAAGACCTAGGTATCGGCCTGTTGGTTAGTCTCTTGGTTGCTCTTCTGAATAACCATCGGCAGTACAATTTCATCCTCGGCGTCGGGATACCCTAATGATTTACCAGCCACGATAGCTGCGAACTTTAAGATTTGTAGGGAGTAGGAGCCAGCATATTGGTGTTAAATAAACGCTGGAAACATCTCTGTTTACCTGCTGGATGGTGGATATGGCGGCCGCTCAACGTGAGCTTTTCTGCTTGACACTAGAATACAGACCTAAGCTGACGCTTATTAATCTAGGATCATAGTTCGCCGAAAACCTTCCTGACTTTGGAAGCCGGGGCAAAGATTTCATCCTTGATTTTGATGCCTCTATGAGTGTTGCCTTGTAACAGCATCGGGAGGAGGGGTTGATAGCCGGTGAGGGTGTCTGTCAGTTCACGTCTTCGCCGTTTGATGCATGATTAATTTCTTGTTCGTGTTCACAGTCCGAAAGTGAAGAGGCTTTAGTTGCGCGGCGTCGGTGGTGGCGTTCAGTACACAGTCGTTGAAGATGAAGTGTGGAGTTCTTGTGACTTGTAGGTGCGCGCATCCTTTCACAGCGCTGGAGCTTCCCATAAAGCCAGTATTTGTTATCGGTATCGGCTGATCGTTTCGGGAAACAGCCCTTAAATTGGTCGCCGGCGTGAGACTGAAAGAGCATGCAAATCGACTCAGCATATTTGTCGAAGGTGTTTGCGAGATCGAAGACAAATTTTAGGACCTGTATTTTCTAACTGTCTGACAGCGTAGACTTGGTTGTTTTACTGTTTTCGGAACTCATGCTGCCTCTCAGAATGCAGTTCTTTGTGTAATGTGCATCAGTCAGGGTGTTACCATCGATGTTGGACGCGATGATTCGTCTGTTGCCACAGACTTGCTGTGGTGATGCACTTTGTTGGGATTCTTCTGTCTTCACACGTCCTTCATGAGCAATTTCATTTATTCAATTGTTGATAATCCCCTGTTTGTGAGCCTCAGTTTCAATCGGATCGGCGTCCGGAACTATTTGGGGATTGCTGCTCGCCTGATAGACTTATTATGCGTAGGCTTCCTTTACCAGTAATACCTTCGAGCACAATTGTCAGCGGAATGAGATGGCGCATTTTGGATTTAACGCGAAAGCTGAAAAGTAAAGTAGACGTATAGATCAGTTTTGGTACACTCATCCATAGGCTCGACGGGATCATGCTACTGGGTGAAGTCTGTGACTGGGATAGGCTATTTTGGAGAAATGTGGGCTTCATCCTTTCAGAATAGCGTTACCGGCAAAGGCAGGGGAGTCTTCCGTTGAGCAGTGTTTGGCTTCAAGAACTCTTAATGGTGTTATAGTGCAACACTGGGCCATAAAGCAGAAGCTGGGGGATTTAGGGCCACCCGACTGACCGCTACTTTGTCGTGATGACGTCGGGTCGATATCCTTTCTAAAATATCTCCATGATAAGCAACAATGTTTCACCACGGGAGGGCAGGTGAGACAGGATTCAATTTGTATAATAGGATGTCTCCAGCCCTCGACTAGAACTTATTACATGTAGACGTTAAACCGGAGAGAAACGTGTCCCCAGCCTTTAGCTAATGTCCTTGTTGTCCGTATTGTTAATCGTGTGATATGTGTGTACTACTGGCTGCCCGTTGGACGTTTCCGAATGCTACACGGCTATCCCTCCGAAGCCGATGGAGTTAGACTTACATATTCATATCAACTTTTGGACTGAACTTAGTAAACTTTACAGCGGGAGATTTACTCCGAGTTAGTCCATTGATTTCCGAGTAGCTTAAAGAACTAAGACTTTACCTTCTTAATTCTCCGCATAAACTTGAGAGTAATGGCAAAGGGGAGCAGTACAGTTGACGTCATAGCCTTGGTCGGGATCCTTTCTGGAAAGGATAAAGCTGGCTTTGACCAGAAAATGCCCGTCAAGTAAAATGGGTGTGTTCCTGCTGAGCGAACGTCGCCCCCTTCCTTTTATGTCCACGAGAGAGAATCAGCGAAGGTCAGGGAATGTCGGAATACATTAAAGAGGCGGAAAATACACCGGGCCGGCGGAAGCTGCTCTGAACCAGCTTGGACGCCAAACTAGGGCACGGTACACGCTAACCTGATTACACAGAAAGCGCACATTTCACAACATGCAACAATAAATCTGACGCACACTGAAACTACCACAATGCGTTCGGAAGGTCTTCAGGTGACGAGATAACCCGGTTCTCTCAGGACGGAGAGACAGACTGCAATGACTCCTGGATATTGCCTCAATGACACTGCCACTCGGCCGGAATCCGAGCGTCTGGGCTGACCAGACGTGTGTGGCACACGCGTACGGGTTGTTTCAATCAATCAGTCAGTGCATTTGGAGTAAACAACGGAGGCCCTTGAAAACTCCACTTCAACCCTACAGCTCTGCATGAAAAGCAGTCATTTCGCAAAAATATTCCGCATGTAATTTTAGTGTGCGAGATGAAAAGGGTTAATAGTGACACAGAGGTTTTAAAAAGGTGGGAATTTGCGAAATAACAGTGAAAAACACAGGCACTGCATTTGTACACAGTGTGTTCTGCAGTGTCAAGGTTCCTGTAAACGAGGTGTGTTATTGAAATAAAATTAGTAGCATGTTTATAGCTATAACAGTTTCCCAATATATGGGGGTTGGCAAGTTCCGGCTGACCATGAACAGATGAATATCTATCTGCCTTAAACACTCACGGTATGAGAATGAACTAAATGCGCTGGTAAAGAACTCCACTGAGGAGTGGCTTCAAGAAAATGGAGGAGCGTTGACTAGTGTGATACGGTCTCTTTTTTAAATTGACAATCGTGTCGTCTGAGATTCGTCTTCTACACCATCCCGTAAAAATCTTTTCAATACACACCGAAATCAAGTCCCCTCAACAGCTGAAACGTTACCAAAAGGTTACTCTTGTCTTGTTTATAGTGGAGAAGGTAGAAGTTGAAGGCGGCTGGGGGTTGCATGTACGTCAAAGCTTTGAGTTTAGGAACAAGCTTTCTAGCTCGTCGCTGTACGCCTTCCAAAATGTCTATGTCTTTGTGATGCCACGGCCGCCAAGCCTGTACCGCATATTCCAAGTTTGGCCGCACACACACTATGACAGTTCGACCATCGGTTTCGATGATGTCCACCGTGTGCCCCACAGTTGCAGCAGCAATGGGAGCAGGGACGGTGACTTACGCAGGGGTTTATAGTGCCGGTAGACTTGCGTAGCATCTACCTACACTCTCTCCTCCTCCCTCGCCCGAGCCCGGTGTCTAGACAGTGTCAAGAAGACCGGAGACGAGAGAGGCCGCAGGTGGATGGCTCGGACGGATCCTCACCTTGGCGTTCCACCACACCCCTGGTCCACACAACAAATAACCAGGATTTCAACCAACACAAGAGAGATTTGGAGGCTGGCACAGCCGAAGCCGCACCTGGGCGTGCCGCCAACGCCTGGCTCGGATCCCACACTGTGATGGGAGTGCCATAAAGGCCACATTAAAAAGGAGCCATTGCAGCCTGACTCTCAGACCGCCTCCGGTCATGGAGGAGGTCCAAGGTACCCCGTCAGTTGGCAACCTTCCAAGCCACGGCTTTTAGCGCACCGTGATAGCTTCAAGCGCGTCAGATTGTTTATAGTGAGGAGAAAGTGCGCTGAGTCGTCGACCTCACTCTCCCTTCCCACTCCCACACCCCAGCCGCTGTCCGAGCCGGTCAGCAGACTGGAATGGGGAATGGGCGCGGTGGCTGTCATGGTCGACTGACCATGACTGCGCGCGCCACGGCACGACCTGGCCCCCCATACACACAAAACCAGGATTTCACACAACGGGGGTTGAACGGCGTGTCTCTCACTTGCGTGAGAGTGCCGTGGAAGGTGCTGTTGCAGCCCGTTCCCAGCCCACCAGTCCGCCACTCCACACAACACACACACACAACGCGACAAACTGCGTGAACCGAGAGCGGGCGTCAATCAGCAACCTTCCTATCCACGACGCTTGACGTGTCGGGATAGTCTCGGACTCAAGTCACCCGTGCAGCCGAAGCCGCATGGGGACTGAGTCGAGATGCGGACTTCCCACTTGAGTGGGAGGTGGCAGTTGGGTGCATGAGGTATGTGAGTGTTGATGGTGGTGATGGTGGTGGTGGAGGAGGTAGGGAGTGAGTGAATGTGTGGTGTGGCCGGCGGTTGTCTACCGCAGGTCGTCGTGGATGCGCATGTGGCCGAATAGGCTCATGCGATGCGTGAATGTGCGAGGACAGTGTGGGCAGTTGAGACGAGCTTGGTGGGTATAGGTGGGTGCTCCAGGCACTGGTTCGCCAGTCTCTGTGCGATGGATTCGCAAGTGACCGACTAGGCCGATGCGTGAGGTGAATGTGCGTGGACAGTGTGGGCATGAGAAGTCGGCGGTGTCAGTGTCAGCTACAGAGGAGGCGGCGGTGGTGGTGGTGTCGCGGACGGATGAAACGAGGGTGGGGGTGTGCACGGTGGATGTGTTGGATGTGGTGGGTGTGTCGGGAGTGCGGTCAAGGCCGCTCTCGTGGATGCGCATGTGGCCGAAAAGGCCCATGCGATGCCTGAAAGTGCGAGGGCAGTGTGGGCAGTGGAGGCGAGTGCGGTGGGTGTAGTTTGGTGCTTCACGCACTGGTTCGCCAGTCTCTGTGCGATGGATTCGCAAGTGACCGACCAGACCGATGTGTGAGGTGAAGGTACGGTCGCAGTGAGGGCAGGTGTAGTCCTGATTCTCATCCCTGGAGTCGGGGAGGTGGTGGTAGTGTCGGTTGCTGTGCGCGGGACAGTCGCCTGAGCGGCCGCCGTTGGAGCAGTGGGCGAGGAGGAGGAGGAGGAGGATGGTGGAAGTGATGGGTCAGGAGAATTGTCAGGGTTAGTTGGCGGCGGAGAGGAGGAGGAGGAAGAGGCAGGCGGGGGGACGATGGTTGGTGCCGTTCGAGAGGCGCAGTTAATCCGAAGATGTCCAACAAGTCCGATTCGAGCCCGGAATGTCCGTTGACATCGAGGACACGTTGGAAGCGGTTGTGCGGCGGCGTTGCTTACTGGGCGAAGTTGTGATTTGCGGGCTTCACGTTTCGCTTTGGCGGCAGTGATGCGGTTGGCTTCGTAGATCGCAGCGCCTGTCTTCACTGTCCTCCTCCAGGCCGGTCGATCTAGTGCGAGCTCCTCCCAGTTGGTGGGGTTGATTTGCAGGCATTTCAGGGAGGACTTCAGGGTATCCTTGTAACGGCGAATCTGGCCTCCTTGACGGCGAGAACCCGTCGCGACGTCTCCGTAGAAGAGTCGTTTGGGTAGTCGCTCGTCGTCCATGCGCACCAGGTGGCCGCTCCAGCGCAGCTGAATTTGCCTCAGTATGGCGTAGATGCTGAGGATTCCCGTCCGTTCCAGCACATCAGTGTCGGGGATTCGATCCTGCCACTTCAGCCTCAGGATGCGACGAAGACAACTGAGGTGGAAGTGGTTCAGACGACGTGCCTGCTTTGCGTACACCGTCCAAGTCTCCGCTCCATACAGTAGCGTCGGCAGGATGACGGCCTTGTACATCTTCAGCTTCGTGCTCAGTTGGAGACCATGACGATTCCAAACTGTGCTTTGGAGGCGACCGAAGGCTTGACTGGCTTTCGAGATCCTGTTGGCGACTTCGTCGTCGATCTTGGTGTTGCGGGAGAGAGTACTGCCCAGGTACGGGAAGTTCTCCACCACTTGCAGGTGGGTCCCATTCACGCTGATTTGCGGCGGCGCGTTGGGGGCTGTGGCCGAGTTGGGTGGCGGTTGGTGCATCACCACCGTCTTCTGTGTGTTGATGACCAGACCGAAGTTCTCGCAGGCGGCGGAGAACAGGTCCATGCTCCGTTGCATCTCCTCTTCCGAGGTGGTGTTCAGGGCGCAGTCGTCGGCGAAGAGGAGTTCGTGCACGGTGGTTGTGGATACGCGCGATTTGAAGTGCATCCGCCGTTGATTCAGGAGGTGACCGTCCGTCCTGTAGGCGATGCGGATCCCGGGGCGTTCGTCGCGGTAGGCGTCCATCAGCATGGCAGAGAACATAAGACTGAAGAGGGTAGGCGCCAGTACGCAGCCCTGCNTTCGAGATGACGAGGCGATGGTCGGTCCACCCGTCAGCACCCGCGATCGCCTTCGTCACCAGCACGTCCCGCTGATCTCGCCTCCGGACGAGGACATAGTCCAGCAGGTGCCACTGACGCGACCGAGGATGCCTCCAGGTGTCCTTCTCTCGCTCCGGCAGACAGAATAACGTGTTCGTCAGCATGAGGCGGTGTTCTGCGCAGGTGCGGAGAAGCAGCAGACCATTGTCGTTTGAGCCGCGGAGACCGTGGGGACCCAGCACTCCTCTTCAGGCAGTATGGTCAGTGCCGACGCGGGCGTTGAAGTCGCCAAGGACAATCAACTTGTCCGCCTTCGACACAGTCGCCAAGAGGGCGTGCAGGTCCTCGTAGAATTTGTCTCTGACGGCGTCGGGGTTGGTCATGGTCGGAGCGTAGGCGCTGATAATGGTGGCGAATTTGCCTCCCCGGAAAGGCAGGCGGAGGCTCATCAGGCGATCGTTGATGCCCTGCGGCAAACAGGGCAGTCGTCCCACGATGTCATTCCGAATGGCGAAGGCGACGCCCGCGTCCCGTCGCTTTGCCCTGGGTCGACCGCTCCAGAAGAAGGTGTAGCCAGCACCCACCTCCTCCAGTTGGCCTTGTTCGGAGAAACGGGTCTCGCTGAGTGCGGCGATGTCCACCTTGTAGCGCGCCAGTTCTCGTGCCACTAGCGCCGTCCTCCGCTCCGGTCGGTTGCTCCTCGGATTGTCTAAAAGTGAACGAACATTCCAGGCTGCCAGAGTCAGCGCGCTCACCCTGCCAGTCTGGTGACAACGAGTGGGACGACGGGAAGGAGATGGAGGAGAAGATGACGAAGGAGAAGAATAGGCAGAAGAATAGACGGAGGTAGAGGAAGAAGAGGTAGGATGGGGAGAATGAGTATGGTTGTTGTTGTTATTGGTATTGTTGTTGATTCGATTTTGATTGTTTCGACCATGTTTAGACGTCTGCGGCCCTGGCTAGCCTGGAGACGGCGTGGTACCCAGCAATGTTTAGGCCACCTTTTCTAGGCCCTTCCCCTCGTGGGGGCTGGCAGTGCCATCCCTGAATAGGGCTGCCATGTGCCGTTGTGGCACGGCCGAACTCCACTATGGGACCACGACTTCGGGCTGTAGTGGAGAGCGACTCGAATTCGCCGTAAGCCGCGGTCTCCGTCGGCGAGGGTGGGCGCGTCAAGGCGATGTCGATATGGAGATCCATCCCGTCACCGGCTGTCAAGCGACGTGGAGAGACGAACCACGTCACGACGGTGCCCACGCTAGGTTCCATCCGACCTTTAATTAATTAATTAATTATTTATTTATTTTATTAAAGACCCGTCGGGGTCCCATCAAAGCGGAATCCGCAAACCCTGTGCACACGGCACAGCGCACAGGGCCCCCTCACCTGGTTTAGCCCGCCGGTCGAGACGGTTGCCCGGGGTGTGGCCGCTGAGCAGAGCCCAGCTACGTGGAGCCACAGGTGAGGGTTGAGTGCCAGCAAGTGGACGCTAGGCGCAGTCTCACCTGCAAGCAAGTGAGCGACCACCACGACCATTACGTGAACCCACCGCTGACACCCCTACACCCTACACACACTATATACCTTGCCGGAGATATCAGCGTTCAGGTTTTCAAACGTTTTTTTGTATCACACTCATAGCTGACATTGCCCGCGCTGCGACCCATGCAACACTGCTCTGTTACACTCGAGTCGTCTTTAGCAAACATTTCAAGGTACATCGAGTACCTCACGACAGCCGACAAGTCTCGGTGCTCCGACTCTGTTCACTGAACTCTGAGTCAAGCGGTCTGTCACAGTACCATGGCGTCACATCTGCCTGGTTAAGAGCCAGAGTAATCGACGCCATACGGAAGTGATGTCAACCGACCAATCTCGATTTCGTGGCGAAAAATTGAATTGCGTTTCGCCAGGGGACTCCGTGTCTAAAGCCTGCGTATGTGGTCGTGTGACTTCAGTGGTGTGGCCGAAAGAAGTTTGGAACAGTTATAAAAGTAGGAGACTAACGTGACATCAAGGAGATAAATCCCAGCGAAAAGAATTACTAGTGTGTGGAGAAAGTAAAACACTTCGTTTTGTTAAGGAGAATACTTACGAAATTCCTTAATCCACTGTAGAAAATCACTGTGGATACGTATATTCTACCAGAAGTTCCGATTTGTGCTAACTTGGAAATCAGAACATGACGACTCACTCCATAAAATGCTTTGACAAATTCAAAACAAATAAGGTAAACAGCGAATCCCTCAGAAAGCATTTTGAGCACATAAAAGAGGTACAATGTACAGTTCGACATTTTTAATTACAATGTATTTCGACAGGTCATTTTAAATAAGTGATTTAGATAGTGTCTGCCGTAACTAGGCTGTACAGCTAGTGGGCACACGGGCCTGGATGAAGTAATGATTTTTCCGCTCAACCGGCCTTAGCGGCCACAACTTGCTAACATCTTTAACCAGCCCGCTAATCCAGATGACGGCGCCGGCGTTTGCATATCCCTTAAGTCAGTAGTTTCCTCACTTTCCATGCCCTCCCTTCCCACCACAAGCAAGCAAGCCCTACGAAGCGGATTACATGCAGTCCCGTAGGCTGCCTGGGTTTATTAGGGTCGTCTTCCAGCTAGGCAAAAGTTGTGACCCATAGTTGAATTCGGAGACCGCCGTCAGCGATAGAACAGAGGGAAAGGAGACTCGATCGCTGGAACAAGAGTTGTATTCGGTGTTTTATGAGTTTACCATAATGACAGCATAGGTTCTAGCCCGAAATTGCGGATTCACACCCGATTCCATTGTTAGAGACAGAATTTGATAAAGACAATGTTTTGCACAAGTGTTTCTGTGTTTTTAGGGTGCAGTTGTTATGCCGCTGCATGCATACCTACCGAAATAAACGGCCCTCACATTCATCGCCAATGGTTGGTCGTGGAGGGATAATAGTTTGATTGTACACAGCCGAGTCGTTAACTGCGATTATTCTTTGTTTCTTTGGGCTCCTGGGTCATTTTGCTCACCTACACCGGCAATGGGTGCTGTGCTCTCTCCGTGACCGATTACTTTGCCCTAGCACAGAATATGGTCACTGCATGTGTTACCCGCCTGCTGGCCGGAGAAGCATGACCCAAGAAGCTGGCGGTCCACGCGGTTGTCAACCCGTAAGATAATTTCAACCGAGTCTTTTTGAATGAGCTGTGACTTAGGAAATGGTGTCGTTCGTCCTCACTTCTGCTGAATTTTCGGCCGTCCGCACCCTGAATAGTCTGTCAATTTCTCCAACATAATAGTTTTGTCCAAAGCTGCACCAACTTCGGGCAGCGACTACAAACGTTTCCTGCCGTGACGGTGGGTCTGTCATCACTTGACGTCCGATGGCTGCCTCAGCTTTGTGTGCATGTGACGCCTCAAAAGACATTAAGCCTACTGCATCGGACACCCACTCCGTGTTAGAAACAGTGCGATCACGACTCCTGAGCGCCAGAACGTGCGTACATTCAACCCTGAGGATAGCCAATGGCAGGCACCCACAAACGCCACTCACCCAATCATCTGGCCAGACTGACACTAACTGACTCTTACGTGACGCTTATTTACTCACATCCATGCCACCGTAGTACACGAACGTTCGCGGGCCTACAGCCGGTCCCGCGTCGCGGGCTCCGACTGCCCCCAGGCTCCTGTACAGAATTTTCCACTCCTACTGGTGTTTTTCTCCTTTTTCTTCAAAGCGGGACCGGACCGTGATTATTATGGCGCTCAGAGAACGCTCCCACTGCGTAGACGCCTCAGGCATACCGATTCCAACGGGTATGAGAAGGCCACTGGCGGCTTCCGGGACTTTCACGACGTACGGGGACGCTCTCCCCAATTTGGGGCCGATTGGATTCGGTTTCCGGTCTTGTTTGTGCTTACATCAGTTGACGAATTTGAGCAGACACTTTTATTCTAAGTGTAATTCAGCATCCCTGTCCTCCGGTCTACTACTGTGCGTCTCGACGCGCATAACGCCGTTACGCAACCGCGTCTGTGGAAGATTGGGTGCAGTGGCTAACGAATTTTAACAGTTCGTCTTCTCGTGTCACACGCGGCTTGGTCCTCACGAAATGAACCAGGTTCTCATGAGAGCGACCCAGGTCTTATCTTAAGCGGGGCCATCGACCCTCACTCTCAGTCCACCAGTTAGCCCCTCAACGCACACTACTGACAATGATGACAGACTTAACTCGTCAGTTAACAACTGTCTAAGCCACGACTCTAAACGTGCCTTGATAAACTCTGACTCGTCATATTTATTACAATAAAGAATGCGCGGATTTTCCGTGGGGATGAACGTCGCAGTGTCAGCCTTTGTCTCTTTCCGTTCCCATGCATCCGTCGACTGTCCAAGTATCTCTACTTATTGGTTACGAGGGTGGGTGCTGTGGCTGATACATTTAGACATCTCGTCTACGTATACCTTGACACGACTTGATTATCACTTAACTGTGCCAGGATACCTCCAAGAATTTGCTTTCGACCCGCATGAAGTGTGTATGCCATGACATAAGGCGTTGCGCCTGTCATACTGGTGAGGACGAAGCAGATAGCATGCTTGCTGTCGGAATGAGGTATGACTGATAAGGCGTAGAAGCGATCAGTGGAACAAGAGCTTTGTTCGCCTGACGGTTCGGGGTTTGGCACGTGGTGTGCAGAGGTTTAATGTGTGACGCAGCGATATGTGTGCGTAGGTATGGCAAGGTACAACGATGGGATCTGGGGTGCAGTTTTATTTAAGATATGCACTATGGTGCATATTATCGAATAGGTCCATTTAGTGACCGGATGTCCTTGGGAAGTAAAGGCCATATATTGGACATCATGACATTATTTCGCCAGTTTCAGTGAGATGGATTCGAAAGAGGCCCACCAGACTAATGCGAGATGAAAATGTGCGATCACAGTAAGGGCA